CACGCGCACCAGCGTTGTCGACCACGTTAAGTCAATTTTGGCTTTTATGGAGTCCGTAGATATGAATCTCCCCATGCATCTCAGACCCTAAGGTCCAGTATGAGCGGAGCGCTCTTATGGGCAGCGAGGAGCTTCCCCGCATTCTCGAGCACTGGTACAAGGTCCCTCGCGCATCCTCCTCACGACACCATCATGTACGGCCCCAGGGCGCTAGGAAGGCTCTCGAGGAGTTTGCCCTGGAGTGCGTGGAGGAGATTGTTGACCGAGAGCTCGAGCCATTGTGCACAGTACAGGAGGTATGCAAGCTTGTAACTAGGACAGCGTGCAGCCGCGAGGGCGCCCTCCGACTTTGTCGGATTACCTTAACGGGGCGTCGGTATGTCACACAGGTCACCGAGCGGGGAGTCACGGGGGTGGATCCACCAGACGTTCAGGAGCGCGGAAAGTCCCGGTTTTTTCATTTCCGCTCAAAGCTCCGAACGTCTGGTCACGAGACTAATTGCTCTGGAAACCCACGAGCAGCCTCTGTTATCAAAGCAAGCGTTCCGCAGGCAACGACATGTGTATATACGGTAGTCATACACGACGACGGTTGACTCGTCTTCAATACATTCTTGTTTTCCAAACTCTCCAAACGTCACCCCTCGCTTATTGAAGCAAGTTCTCGAGCACAACCTTTACGCCCCACGCGCCTGGGTCGGGGATGCGCTCCTGCTTCAATCTGTCGCCCTCGACGTACGCACTACGACCGGCCTTCGCTTCAAGATCCCGGGTCTTCAGCGCCGCATCCGCTGCCGCCTTGACGGCCTCTGCCGTGTTCGATCCCTTGCCGCTGGCAAGCGTCTCGATGAACGCAGCAAGCGGATCAACGAGCGTCCGGGATGGCGGCCGTGCACGAGTGTACGTGTACAGCTTGTCGAGCGCAAACGAGAGCGCGGAGGACCAGATCTCTGGAGTGATGGTTTGAGACTGGGAGTGTTGCGCCTGCAAGCCCAGTGCAAGTGCAGAGAAGAAGATTCTGGGGAGTCCAGTCCATGTCAAGATCCGTCAACAGCAGTGAGGGGACGGGGAACACGCACGAGTAGATTGCTCCGCTCGTTCCGCCCATCTGCTCCTCGGCGACCTTCGCAACCGCAAACACGGACTTCGGGACGTGCTCCCCGGTGATCCGTCCTTCCTTTAGGTCCTTGAGCACAGCTACAGGGCCGCAGTCAGCTCCGCTCCGAGTCCGAAGTCAAATGGTTGATCAAAATGAAACACGTACCGGCAGCGCCCGCCTTAAGCGTTAGCCCACAGTCTCCGTCTCCGGCGATGTTGTCGTAGCGCGTGATCTCGGGCTCAGCCTCGCCCAGCGCCTTGCAAGCCCTCTCGACCGCCGCATCGAACGCCTTCGGATCTTCGGCGCGGATGGTAACGCCGTCCTGCACGGCTGTCACCGCCTCCTCATGTTTCGTCCCAGATGGAATTTTGTCAGTCTCAGGAGGGACGGAGTTTGATGACCACTTCCAGCCGGGAGTGATCGCAGGCTCGTCAAGAAGAGAGAGGAGGAGGGAGCTGTCGGGAGTACCCTTGCCGGACTCGGATGAGGCGGGGAGAAGGAGAGTCGTTATAGAGAAACCGGGCATATTCAAACTGGTCTGAGAGCAACGGGGTCATGAAAATGCTCTACGAGAGGTAGCGCAAGCGTACCATGAATGTCCCGGAGATCAGCCGCTCGACCTTCACGCCCTTGGCCCCCAGAGCCTTGCGAGCTTCGCCTGCGATGCTCGCGAGCTCGAGCTCACTGACGCCGCCGAGATTGTTGACGAGAAGCACGACGCGATCGCTGCCGTCATTCTTGAAGGGCAGGAAAGAACGCTCGGCGTCAGTTGTGGAGGTGAGGAATTCCACGAGTTGGGGCAAGAGCTCATTGAGAGGAGGGACTGGAGAGAGTCGGCGATGACCGGGCTCGTTGTGAATACCCATTCCAATCTCGATTTCGTCAGGACCAAGGTGCGACTCCGGTGCAGCTGTTCCAGGGACGTGGCAATGTTCCAGGCCAACGCCAATAGTTCCAACATGCGAGGAGACCCATTGTGCGGTGTCGTGGACCTCATCGAGGCTGGCTCCCCTCTTGGCCAGAGCACCGGCTATCTTGTACACAATGCAAGTACCAGCAAGACCTCTGCAAGACATGATGGGTGAGATACCGACATTCGACAGTGACTAGCGACGCACCTGCGGCCGACAATCTTACCCTGTGTCCTACCGACAGCAACATCATCCCCGACGATCACAAACTTGACCTTGTCTGCCTTCTGAGGGTGCTGGGCCGAATACTGCTCTCTTACCAAACCGAAGTTCAGGATATCTCCGGTATAGTTCCTATAGATTGTGTCAGGTACTAGAACCCGACATAGGAATGACGGGCTCACTTGACGATGATGACGGTACTGGATGCATGCGATGTTAAAAGAGAGAGCACGCAACATGTCGATTGCACCTCACCCCTTATCGTTCTCGGTAAGGTCGATAGCACGCCGCACCTGGGCAGGATTGGGGGAGGCGAAGATGCTACCGCAAACGGCAGCTAGGATGAAAGCCAATTGTAAGGGAATAACGTCGGTGCATGAGGCATCTTCTCCGCTTACCAGTCAAGATTCCGTCGCCTTTGACAGCCTCAGTCCAGCACCTCCCTTGGTATGCACAAGTTGGTCACGCACCTACGAACCCCGCGTGCGACGGTTCATGACCCGATCCACCCCCGCAGATAAGCGCGACCTTCGAGCGATCCTGGTTGGCAACATAGACAACTGATAACCCCGTCGTTGAGTTGCATGAAAGAAACCAGAGAGCTGAGAGCTACATACCTTTGTTCTCTTTATCAAGGCCTAGTTGCGGGTTGAGAGTGCAAAGCCCCTGAAGGGAGTCGACCACGAGGGTCTCAGGGTCGTTCAAGAAGTGCTTCGCTGCCGGAAAGCCAGTCAGTCATATTCGGATTAGACAGTGGAATCATGAGGGCTGACACTGTGAAGACATAGCTACGTGCAGAGCTATGGAGATGAGGAATCCAAGTTGACTCCTAACGCGTCGAATGCGAGGTGGATGGTTTAGATAGCGACACAGTCCGGGAAGACTGGGCCCGCCTCGTTCGCATGTCACAAGGCATGGCGAGCCTGAGGCCTGAGGCCTGAGGAGTGGTTCCTGTGATCAGGGCCGGTGAGATCGATGCGATCGACGTAGGCACATTTCGCGGGCCGGGGAGACTGCAGACTAAATCTGCGCATCTGGGCCACCGGCTGGGCCTACATACATACACTGCACTCCCACTCTCCTGGAATAGATCTGAAGATATATACTGAGATGCAATTGTGGGTGGAATTACACGTTGCGGTGATCTACGACATACGCATTAGCTGACTCTACCTATCTACAGCCATTGTACAACGCAGTCCGCCTCCAATTCGAAGTCGACTTGCGCGTTCTCTGCGTCTTGTGCTAATGTCCTTTTGTCATGACATTCATCGTGATGAAGAACCATCATTCTCGGTCTCGTCCAACTCAGACTCGGCGGGCGTCATTATAACGTCCGTCGCGTCGTCCACCACTTCGTCGTCATCATCGTCCGAGAAATTTGCCTTGCGCAGCCGAACCGAATCGTCGGAGATATCCTGAGTCGGATCATCGTCGAAACTGGACTGGAAAAAGGGACTCTCGTCGTTGTCCTCGAGGTCCGGCTCAGCATCGACGGATGACGGCGATCCGTGGGATGACGGATCAGGGAATTCCAGCTGCGCCGCGGAAAGCTGGATCTCAGCGAGCGGCGACGATTGAACGATCGGGTCATAGAGAGCATCATCGAAAGACGGAGGAAGGCCCTCAAGCGGAGGTGGTGGTGAGCTGGGAGAGGAAGGAACCATTGAGTCCGGCGTGGGCCATTCCAGGATGGTCGCAGGTATGCTACCCACGGAAGGGTCTCCTCGGGAAACGGAGCCATCACTTGGGGGAGTGGGAATCTGCATGCCCCTGTGGGAAACGTCGTCGACGTGCACTTTGGGCTGTACGCGGGCAGCTTCGACCTTCTCGTGGCTCTTGCCACCGATCGGACGACGGGTACGCCGTCGGTAGAAGAGAAGGTAGGCGTTCGAGTTCTGACGTGTGATTAGAGACTTTATATGATAAAGTGGAATGGCGAAGGTACTTACCACCGCTTGCTCTGGTCTGGCTGGTGTAACATATGAGTCATCGAAGTGGTACCACTTGCCGGTGGCGTGGTTCAGCGCGTACGCGCGATAGTGTCCGCCACCAAGTCCACCAAGGTGCTCGTCCACAGCAAACAAGTCGTATACCAAAGGCTCCTCCAGGTCGTGGAGACCCAGCGACTCCACGTCCACGCCGGTTTCCTGGAGCCGCTTCCCGACTGACCGCTCGCCCACCATCGAGGTCAAGTCCAGACCCTCGAGCGGGAAGTCGACAAACGTGTCGATCTTGTCCCGGAGCATGCGACTATTGCTGAATCGCTTCAGGTGCACGACGAGAATGTCCGGCACCTTCCACAGATCGAATCGCTTCGTCGCCTGCTGGTGCTTCTTACACCGCGGGCAATACCACAGATCGTCCTCGCCCAGCTTCTCCTCCTTCGTGAACTCGTCCAAGCAATCCTGCAGCGTTATACCCTTCTTCTTATGTGTCGATGCAGCCTTGCGCGACGCCACAAGCTCCGGATGCACGAACTCATCAAACTTGTTCCAGAGTGCGTACTCCCAGTGGTTGCTCTCGTCGCCAAAGTAGTACGTCTTCACAGGGTTATCGAATTCGAGGTAGAAAGCGTCATGCTGGCGAAGGAGCACACCGTCCTTGGCCGTAGCAGCCCGCTGCTCCCAAGTGTCGTAGCGGCCGGGGTTGCTGCTGTAGCTGTTGTAACCAACCCCGTATGGCTGACTACATTTGTGGACACGTATCTGGAAGAGGTCGCGCTTGAAACCGACTTTACGGGGGACGGCGGAGGCGAGGTCCATATCGTCGTCTTCGTCCGCTTGCTGAACGATGGTTGCTTTCTCGTCGGCGATATCACCCTCATCCGGGACTCGCTCCTCGACGGTCACAATGTCACCGTTCTCCTTGATCTCCGTGATGGTGTCCCGGACGGGTGAGCCTGAGATTGGGATGTGGACGGGCTCCATGTCGTCTGACCTGCTTCCAGCCTCCCAAGTGAAGAGGTCGCGAGCGTGAATGGTCCAACGTTGCAACCGGTCCACGACAGCATCGTACATCGCTTCAGGATCCTTCGCCTGCTCCTGAGTAATGACCACAACGAAGGGACTGGCGAAGAGATTGGATCCGCGACCGTAACCCGCTCGAGACGGAGTGGTTTCGCTCGCGAAAACGGGGACAATGAACGGGTCGTTGGGCTGAGGTTTGTACGTCCTGCTCTGCTGAGCGTTACATGGGAGTTCGAAACATACGATCGTGTCTTGCTCTGACATATCGTCAACGCCAACGGTGTCATCCAAGTTTTTGTAGAACCGGTGGTTGAAGATTTCGAGCGTAAGCAGCTGGGTGAGGTTGTGAGAACGTGAGTCCCAACAAGAGCATTCAAACGGCATACATTCTCTGGATTGGAGTTCATCCATCTTCCCAGCAATTGGCGCACTGCCTTGAACGACGCATCGCGGGTGATTTCGATCGGTATCTAATACGAACTCGTTAACGCAGCGTACCTTTAAGGTCATGCAGACGACGTACCTTGACGTGTGGCTTCTCCAAATCCCAAGGAACGTAGAGGATGTCATGCTGCCATTTCTTCTGGACCGGTAGAGGTAGGGTAAGATACATGAAGGGATCGAAGGTGATCGACACCTAAGCAGCATTCTTCAGCACGAGCATTCATGTTTGAGGCTTCCGCACTGTACGTACCTTGTTGCACTCGGGGCATACCAACGTACTCTGGTACTGTCCCTGAAACAAGTCGACTACGACGCTGTCGTTACGCTTCATGTATCCCTCCCAGGACAGATTGGCAAGTTCGACGAGCTCCTTGTCACCACCACCCTCCCAATCCGGCTTCTCCACATACGGCTTCTTGAGTACCCGATTGAGATCCTCATGAAGACCGTCCAGCAAGAAGGCAACAAGCTCCTGGGAGTCGTGTTGCTGGTACCCACTGAACTGGGGCGCGAAGCGTTGGAGCGTCTGCTTGAACTCACGCGGAGTGTACGACGATAGTGTAGACTCGTTGTCCCATATACGCGTCAACATGGCCCCAAACGCCTGCGCGATGGCGCTGTGCATACCAAGCGGGTTATCTGGGTTGAGCTCTTCTTGATAGACGCCCGTTAGGAAGTAATCCACGAGTTCGGGGGTATGCACGAGACACTGCAGCGCAGAATTCATGAAGCAGGTGTTGCCCCTTCAACAATATAAGTATATTGTTACACAAGATACTCGCAGATACTAACATGTTACCGAGGCCTAAAGTGCCTGGCTCTCGCGCAGTCTTGGGGCGGGCGGATGTACTGGGTTTGTCGGCTGAAGCAACAGCGCCGGACTTGAACAGAGACACAGCAGTCGTACTGACTGCCGGAGGGCTCTTTTGCTGAAGCTGCGAAAAGAAGTCCGTATTGGAATTGAACAAGGGGGCAGGCTGAGTGGGTGGTGGTGGTGGTGGCGGCGTAAGTTGGGGGAGAGTCCCATTAGGCTGACTTGTGAATTCTGAGGGATTGACGGTCCACTCGTCCCTGTCCATGAACTCAACCACAAAGGCCTCTCCCGAATCCACGAACTCTTCCTCCACCGTAGCCTCCGAGGTACCCAGTTCAGTCGCGCCGCATGTCCGTAGCCTTTCCACAGGGTATAACAGTTCGGTCGATGTCGCCTGCGAAGGAATACGCCACACGCGATACTGGCCTCCGGCAGCTTTCTGTGTAGAGATTGCCTCTGCGAACGCCTTGCGCGCGTGGGTAACCGTGTCTGTCGACGACAAAACAACCTCTTTCGGCGGGGTAGACTGGCCGGGAATGCTGCTAGTGCTTAATAGGTAGACAGAGAACTTCGGAGGACGAAGTTCCAGGGTGGGTTCCTTCATGATACCGCGCTCGATGACCTTCCGAGGGAGGGAGAACTTCGGCGGACCATACCTGTGGAAGAGAAAAGTGGTGAGCTTGACCACATTCGAAAATGCGTGCATAAACACCCCGGTCATCGCAAGGCATATCAACGCTCCGGTCTAGGACATCTGCTTGGCCGAACACACTTGATACTCCGAAACGCCAGAGCATGCAAGATCCGCGACTCTTCCTACCTGATAGAGTGAGGACGGTAGCATGACCCTCACGCATGCCGGGCACCTATACAGCCACTGGCTGCGGATGCAAAGGAAGTAGGGCACAACGCCAGCATGAAGGTTTGTGGGTGGCTCCGCCGGGAGCCACACCCACTCGTATAGCTCATCAATTAAAATTGATATACGTACCATTCCTCATACAACTTCCATACTCCCTCCGGAACAAACTCGCAGTCGATGTGCTCGATCAGCTGCGAGGTGACTTCCCCGTTCCGACTGCAAAGGTTGCTGTTGTCCACCGGACCCACGTCCTTTTCCTCGAGGCGGCCCTCTTTATCCTCCTCGCCCGTCATCGCCTTCCTCCAACGCTGATACCACCTCCTGGAGACGATATACCACGTCTCGCCCTTCACCATCGGAGCCTTAAGCGCATCCTCCACGTGCTGCAGCTTCTGCGCAGATGTCCATACCGAGCTCGAGGCCCGTTGGAAAGCTACGCCGTTGTCCTCGCCTTGCTCTGCCATGTATGCGTCGATGTCATTGTCTGGAGTCGTATCATGGAAGGAGGGTGGCGTGGAAGTCAAGTCGTTAGACTGGAGAGTCTGAGGGTCCTGCGAGGCCGAGCGTTTTGGTGAGGAAGTCGAAGCCTCTGATTCCATTGATAACGAGCGTTGTCTCTTGCGACTATTTGTCGGATCGTGCGGATACAATGTGGGAGATGTCGATGGCGAGGGAGGCGTCAGCATAGCATTAGTGGTCGTGGTTCAGGAGAACTGTGATGCAGAGACACAAGTCCGCATACGCAATGCTATAGCCACCCGACATGGCCGCGTATGCCAGGCAAGCGCCTATCAACTCCCAAGCACAGTCCGACCACCACTCCACCATCCACTCTTTGCTGGGATCGGTAGAGGCAACTATCACCTCAACATAAATGGGTTTTCCGTGCTACACCTCATTAGATTGCACCAGTGGCTACAGATCATACCTGCTCCGCAAAACGTCTTATCAACCCCGCGAGCTCGTTGTCTACATCCGTTAACGTCGTCTCTTTCCGCGCGACCTCGAGGTACACCTCTCCGTCCAACTGACGTCCATCAGTAGTCGTCCCCAGCCCACGCTTCCCGATATGCCAATGCTGCGGATTTTGGCCACGCGAAAAGACTTCGTGTATGTCCAACCCGCTACAAGTGATCGAGGAAGCTTCAGTATCGGCGGAGGCTTCATGATACGTGACCCTAGCACAGACCTTCGGAGAAGCTCTTGGCCGTTGTACAAGTGCTCTGACCTAGAGATCAGTCCGGAGCATGAGGGAGACGTATACTCGCCCATCGAAACGATGTGCTTGTCCTTCGGCTGTAGGATCCCAGTAGCCGACGGGATGTGGTTCTCTCCCGCCCTAGTATGACATGCTTCAGCGCCGTTTGCAGTCCAGACAACAGCAAACACGTACTGCGCCTCTTCCACTAGGGTGTTCCGCAATTCCTCAATCAATGTCGCGACATGATCCGCCAAGTAGTGTAGATCGAGCGAATGATCCACTTTGGCCACAATCGCAATCGTATAGTCGGTCTGCTGTTACGACTTCAGCCACAAGCTACGACAGCTCAGATACTCTACTTACTGTCAGGTGCAAGAGGCGATGCTTTTCGACCTCAGTCGGGTTTCCCGACACTCCCAGATACACCACGGATTCGAGGAATGGCCGAATCGAGCGAGCAGCAATGTCGCGTTTCGCCATTTCGGCCGATTCAGATGTAGGCGGTGAAAACGCGATTTGCGGAACACCATCTACCTGCACCTCCAAGGGGTCAGCAGAATCAACGGGTGCAACGTTGCCACCTGTGCTAACGCTGATTGGTATACTCGTCTCTCCGAGCTGCGAGCTCTTTGACAGCACGGACGGAGCCGGCGAGGCCGCGCGTGTGTAGGAACCGATGCTCTCTGTAGAGATGGCCTCGAGCAAGGACGTCGTATCTACGTCTAGCGTATCTTTCTGAAGTACGTCTGGTGGCGGGTTGTCATCGGTGGTAGACACCTTGGGTGGATCACTGTGTCCTTCTACGATAGCAGCAAGACTTGCCGGAGCACCGGAAGCCTCGGACGGAGTGGATGGGCCTTTGGAAGTTCCGGCACCTTTGCCAAAGGTCAAGTACCCTGGCCAACCCCACTTCACATTCTTCATGTCCAGGCTGAAGTTCATGTTGGGCATGGCAGGCATATTAGGCATCGGAGGTAGCGGAAAGGCAAATCCCGATTCCGTCTGAGCTGGCGGCAACTTAACGTCAGTAGGCGCAATCTGTAGGCTGCCTGGTCGTTGTCTGAGGGGGGTTCCCACCGTGGATGGACGGTCAGACTGCTTGCTCGTTGGAATCGGTGTTGCGGGCGGAGGGATCCGCGCCAAGACGTGACGGACCAACGAGGCAGGGTATCGTGCTGAACGAGGGGGTATCACGTGAGGGGGCAACAGAGCGAAAGTGATTAGCTCGTCAGGGAGGGTCGACGCGAATGCCTCTAGCAGAGGAGTCAACCTGGCGTGCAAGGGATGTAGCGATATTCCTGCTCAAAGCGTTAGTAATGCCCGGCGCATTCAGGAAGACATCTACCCAGGTGAGTCCCAAAGTCGTCGTCCTCTACGTCCCATTTCCACGCCCAAACGGTGAAGAATCGTTCCAACTGTAGCTCTAGAGCTTCTTGGCCAAGCCTTGATAAGATTGAGTTGAAAGTCCCGTGACGAAGCTGGGGAAAGCGATGAACGTAAGTGTTTAGACATGATAGGGCCGCACTGACCTTAAACTCCTCGTAACCGCGTTGAAAGTGGGTCCGTAAAGCCAAATCATGTAATGAACCGTCATGGTAGTCATAGACAATGGCTGGAGGGGAGTCTTGCTGCTTCTCCGTCTCTTTGCCCTTCGACCTGCCTTTGGGTACGCTCTTGCCCTTGCTACGAGGGGGAGGACGGGGAGTTTTGGCGACTTCGTAGCACTGGTATAAATGAGGGGATCAGTACGTATATCCGTGCGTACCAAGGTCGCCACCAGGAGGATACATGATCCATCATTGGCGGTTCGCGTTCGCAATGAAAATACGCAGCGACGTATTACTGCGCTGGGCAAGATACTTACAGCATGCATCCAGAAATTAGGTTCCGGAGAGAACATGACCATTCGCCGAGCTTGCGAATGTACGCTCTCGCAAGGCACGCCGGCACTGAACATTCTGTAATACAGGCCCAAGGTCAATACCATTTCGAGTGCACTTCGCATGTAAGTACGTACAACTCACTCTGAGAAGTTCACAAGAGCCTTCGCGAGGCCGACCTGCCTCAGAATCCGGTCCCGTGAGACGGCGTGCTCCCGAGCCGTGTAGAACAGAATATGCGCCTGCTCCTCGGCATCCTCATCATCTGGCTCTAGTTGTGCAGGCTTGAGGGTAGGGTTGTATATAGTCAGATAGAGCAGCGACGGTGGAATTCTGCTCATAGGGTCAGACAGCCTGGAGACGGAGGCAAGGACAACCGCGGACCTGCGCCGGAGTGCGCCCCGTGGCCGATCGGGCTTGGTTGCCATTTGCGGAAGCCATGCCTCTCCAGGCTGATCACTCATCTTTCCCTCCATCCGCCATCATGGATAAGCCTTCTACCTCTGCGGCCGCTCTCAAGCTGGAAATAGAACGTTTGAAAGGTATATTGTCTTTGCCCTGACTCTACTGTTCGTCTCATACTTTGCTAGGTGCCATTGATCAACGCAAGACCGGAAGACAAGCAGCTCGTCCGACATATCCAGCCTCGACCCCGACCTACCCTCGTAGCAACATCTATGTGAACCCGAACTACAAACCGCCATCTAAGACATACCGACCACCAGTGCCTGCAGCTGTGCCAGCACCAAAACCTGCTCCTAGGCCCCCGGTATCTACATCCAAGGAGACGCGGGATGTCGTCATCGACGGTGTCGCGTTCGAGTCTTCAGGTCGATCTCTGGTTCGTAAAGATTGTAAGTTCAGCGCTCTTACCTCAAGACGTGCGCTGGCAGCATAGTCGCCGTTGGGTCTGCTTCGATCGCTAGACCGAAGTGTTGCCCGGTGTAGTTGACCAACAACGCAACCACCGTATAACCTCAGTCTGGACACCCACGAGGGACTACGTCGATTTCGTGTACTCGATACTGTCCATACAGCTAAGCCATTCTATTCTAGTACCGAAACCTGCTTCCAAGCCGCCATCGACCACGGCAAGTGCCCCATCAGCCGGACCACGTCTCTCATTTGTTAGGAACAAAGCGGGCACGTTCACGAGTGGTCCTCGGCCGTACAAACCAAAGACATCAAGGCGTGGCCGTCCGGTCAATCGTAACATGACCCTTGATAATACCCGAAGACCCTACCAGTCCGTCCATCTGTCCTGGCCCCGCACTCATAGCACATTTACCACTTTCCGCAGACGCCGCCTCAATCCCAAACGCAAATACTCCGACAAGCAATGCCCGCGCTTCACGACGACTGGTGCGTACAAGAAGCGATGTTCTTTTATATCTCACATACGAATCTACCAAATGTGTGGTTCGTCTGACTTGCAGGATCATGCAACCGTGGCCTAACTTGTTTCTATCAACACGATCCGTCCAAGATCGCCATCTGCTGGCCTTTCTTACAAGATAAATGTCCTAACACGGCCGAGACGTGCCCTCTATCGCACGACCCGACGCCTCAACGCACGCCGCTCTGCGTGCACTTCGCCAACAACGGCCGCTGCAACCGCCCGAACTGTCCCTTTCCACACGTCCGCGTCGGTCAGCGGGAAGGTATTTGCCGGGACTTTGCTGTGCTTGGCTACTGCGAGAAAGGGCTCGACTGTGACAAGCAACACGTCCGCGAGTGTCCTGACTTCGCCGAGAAGGGCAATTGTACCACGATGGGATGCAAGCTACCTCACGTCATCCGTGCCAACCGCAATCGCAAGGCAGCAATTCCTTCTTCAACTTCAACATCTGCGTCCTCTTCCGGAACTACTTCTTCAGCTACCTCTGACGCTGTTGCAGTAACTGATGGTGCGTCTAGCTCTCGTCAGCTCACAGCTGAGGATGGGCAGCTCGGAGATGAGTTCATCTCCCTCACTTTCCACGAAAGTGAGAGTGAAGAAGACGATGAAGATGAGGAAGATGAAGACCAGGAAGACGACGAGGACATAGATGACGGCGAAGAGGAGCAAGCCCATAGTGAAGCCGATGTAGATGAGCAGTAACATCTTGTATAGCCTGGATTTCTCTTGTTCATGTGTATATACCATCATGTGCTAGCTCGACGTTATGCAATATAGCGTGAAGGTGAATTGTAGCTTGTTGCGCGGTCCGTTGTGAAACACGCGTGATCAGTCTGGTTCCCGCAAAGTCTGTGCATGATAGAATACAATGGCGGCATGAAGCTGTATTGATGTTCATAGCGTGGAACATATATATGCGTGGACGAGAAGAGGAAAACGCAGCATGAGATGCAACCCGACAACATTACGCCTCCGTGATTTCCCGCAGCCGACGGACGGTGCTGGAAGGATGTGTCAGGTCAATTAGTGGAGGGCGAATGAGCAAGCCGTACCTGCGGACGGTTGCTGCCGCCGTTGTCGAGACGGTCCATGCGCCGCCAGCGATGACCTTCTTGCAAGAGTTGCACTTCCAGATACCAACAGCCTGGCGTTTTACAGAGTCCTGCACCACACATCATCGTCAATGGTCTTTCGCTAACATTTGCAAGCCCCTCAAGACTGACCTTGCCGCAGAAGGTGCAGGTGTACCGTGCATGTTGGGTGATTTCCATCTGATTAGAGCAAACTTTGAGCAAACAAGAGGGCAAAGGGTGATACAATAGCAGCACACCTTTTTGACCTGCTTGCGCAGGGAAGCACCGTAACGCTACATATCCAGCAGTTGCGCAATCAGCACAATGTCCTCCCTGGGCTCCCTCGCCTTCCATCCAAATGGACCGTCAATGGGCGAAATACTCACAGTACCGTACTTGCCGGTAACGCCGACCTTGCGAGTGCGTTTCGTCTACAATAAAGAATAGATCGTTCAGCATACGACCAGCATACGACCTGGGATAAGTACTCACCATCTTGAGGAGTTTCTTGTGGGGGCGTCGAGTACGGCGGCGGCGGGACTTGCTGAGGGTAACTACAAGTATGCACTGGACAAATCGGGGTAGAGCTGTACAGTTTTTCCAGCCACTGTTTTCTTAGGTAAGCGGGAGGCGAGCGTTTGAGCCACGCGAGACGAGCATCGCCACTGTGATCATCCTCGGCGCTCGGAGGCAGCAACTGTGCGGCACGGTACTTACCGCTTTTGTCGCAGTTGGGCGCATCGCTCACATAGCTCATTTACTTATGTAGTCCGCCATGGAGCTGCGTTCAATGCTCTGTCTTTGCTGCGCCTCACATCGCCTGGCCTGTGTCTCCTGCGTACACCGAGTACGCGCTCAACCAGCTTCCCCCTCAAACCTATATCCAACTATATGCCCCGTTGACACGCTGATACCATCCGACTCTGCGCCGGAACCTTTCAACGACGGTTTGTAAAGACCAGGCTCTCACCCGTCGCGCCCACCTTCAGCCCTCTAGAGCTTTAGTTGCACGCGGTCCTCTGTGTACGGAAGGCCACAATGAGCTCCGAATCTGAAGAATATCGCCCGGCTTCCATACAGCCCGTCCCTGCGCCTTGGAATGTCAAAGGGGAGGTGCGTCGTCAACAATGCATCTCCCAATCAAAGAACTGGATGGCTGACCTTAGCCTCAGGCCTGGTGGTTTGTGACCTCTATCGGTCACCGGCCAGATCCCGGAGAGACACTACCCATCAGCTACTTTCCGGCACAGGAGACCGAGTTGTACAAGATCAGCACGCACCATGGAGCGTTCCGTGGCGGACGCGGCTCTATTACCCTGATGCGCTATATCGAGTCGCCAATAGGTCAGAATGCTTCTTTCTTTTCCAATCAGGAATGCTGTCACTGAAACCGGGTGATGCTGTGCAGGGCCCTTTGACGAGCTCGCAATATCTCCCGGAGAGTTCACGAACCCCTTTGAGGGTCCTACCCACCGTGTCACGCGCGCCTACGTTTCCAGCCTCTCGGCTGTTGTGAATGGTCAGTAGCCTGAAGCAGCTCTCTGGCCCACTTTCTCTGTGTGTGTCTGACATATCTTGCGCAGGTCGCTCAAACTGGGGTCTTCCACGTGAACTCGCGCAGTTCGTCTTCACGCCATCCCTCGATCACTCGGACGCAATTGAAGTTCGGGTATATCCTGCTATCTCGTTTTCGCCCGTCTCCTTCGCCGAAGACGCGTGCTTCGCAGCCCTCATCAAGCCCGTCTCATGGCTACCCACCATCCCCGCCAGCCTCGCCCACTTCCCGCAGGTCAAGCTCTTCCAACCGCCCCTCGAAGCCTCCCAAGACCCGGCTTACGACGGCCTTGTCGCGGCACCAAAGTGGCATGCCCTCGATGCGAGCAGTTACAAGGGTCGTGCGGAGATCTTCCGGTGCGAGGGCCTGCTTACGCAGAAAGATGTCCAGCCCAGCATCGGGCCAGACGAGACGCCGGGGAAGCGTAAGATTCACAAGACGGGCGTCGCGGATGGCACCGGGTTCCCGGACGTCGAGCCTTACAGCATAGGCCTTCACTGGACGGAGATCGAGCTTACGCTACCTCAGGCAGTGCCCCTAGCTACGCTGTAAACACAGGGATTTCTCGCTCTTGGTCTCGGGGTTTCGTATTTATCGCACAGGCACTATGGCAACCTCTTCATGTGTAATACTAAGCCTAGATTCCACGGCGGACTCATACTTCAATACGAATGGATTTCGGGGGTATTTCGTGCGAATGATGTCCATCGTTGGCTTTCACTTCCTTTTTGTGTCGTCGCATGGTTCTTTGCATCTCGTCAAATCTTGGTGCCGTCGTTGGTGTCACCAAATTGGTGAGTTTCATCGTAAACAGAGGTAGATCACGTCGTCGGGTTTCGTTGTTACAGTCTGACAGGATGTGCCACGCCTGTTTCCGCAACGGCTTCGTGACAGTGTGCCAATCGGTGATACCGAGACGTAATTTCTGTGATCATCTCAGCCCAAATTTCAAGAGTGCGATATATGTGACATTGCACTGGATGCGGGTGTTTTGTAGGTCTCAGAGAGTTTGTAACGGATGTGGAACATCAGGGTAGACGACTGTGAAGCCATCTGCGGGTCCAATGATTGATCCGCCCTAGTGAAAGGCAGTACTTGTCGTCCACCGCGAGTTCTAGACATTGCTGCACGCGGGTGGATTTTCAGCCCCGAACCAAATCCATTACTATGTTCGTTACACATTATGTTACACCGTAGAGTGATCCCGTTGTCGTGGTCGTCAAAGAATAAGTTATCATCATGAGATATTCCCCTTCGAGGACACATGACCGTCACCATCCATCACCACACCGCTCGACGAAGCTGTCTGTGTCGGCGAGTCGCTCACTGGAACGCAGTGCCCTTCGCAGCAGTGATCCACGTCGTGTCAGCCTCGGGGAACTCGAATGCCATCACCCCAGCACTCCAGCCCTTCGCCGTCGCCTGCGCCACACACGTCCCGAGCGTCGCAGGGTCGATGAACCCATCGGTCGCGTCCGCCGCAGAGCCGGGCTTGCCGATCACAATCTTGTTCAAGTCGACGCCGTTGGCTGCGATCTCAAAGACAGACGAGCCAGGGAAGACACCCCCAGACGTGTTCAGCAAGCCGTCACAGTCGTGGTACAGGCCCTGGTTGTAGAACTGCACGTTGTACTGCGTCGGGGAAATGCAATTTAGTAAGAGCATAGACA